AAAACTGGCTCACATGCCACTTATGGCACATGTGCTGTAAGTCACCCACCCAGGCCTACATCAGCTTCGAATTCTTTACTGATGATGTGCTCTATCCTGAAAGTTTCTGAGTACCCTCAACTCCCATCCATTACACTGAGCATCATGGGAGCTCAGTACAACTCAGAAGGCACCCAAAACCTCACGTGACTTATTCTCTTTACTATAGTGGTAAATATGGTATTAGATACAGGGGAAGAAGCCTATTTAATGACATTAAACTCCAATTAGTCTCTATTGAACACCTATAAGATTCCCTTGCTCTTATATGTATTTATGAGACTCACAAATACAAGGCAGCACTAGTTCATTATTTTAAATGTATTTTCCTTTATTAGGTATCTAAAAGGGTGTCATAAGGAGGAGGGAGAAAACTTGTTCATCTTGGCCTCTGAGGATAAAACAAGAAGCAATGGGCTTAAACTGCAGCAAGGGAGGTTTAGGTTGGACATTAGGAAAAAGTTCCTAACAGTCAGGGTAGTCAAACACTGGAATAAATTGCCCAGGGAGGTTGTGGAATCTCCATCTGTGGAGATATTTAAGAGTAGGTTAGATAAATGTCTATCAGGGATGGTCTAGACAGTATTTGGTCCTGCCATGAGGGCCGGGGACTGGACTCGATGACCTCTCGAGGTCCCTTCCAGTCCTAGTAGTCTATGATCCCAGAGTTTATAAATGACGAGACAGTTCTATTCCATATTTGCATACATGGAGCATCCATAAAAGTATCCTATTCTTGACCTGAATTCAATATTTAACTGTTCCCGCCTGAAATATACACACATATAATTCATACAGTCATTTACTTGGTCTGTAAAAATGCTTATAAAATAATAATGGGTAATATTAGCTGCCACATGAAAAAAGAATGCAGATCTGAACAAAGAAACACCACCGTTTCCTGCTGCCCAGGTTTGCTAGGGACATTTATTGTGCTTTGTAAGTTATTTTTAGTATCTATTAAGTCATTGAAAGTTTTTTTATTTTTAAGATACACTACTAATGCAGTTTTTTAAAAGTCTGAGTAGAGTAGCCATGTTAGTCTGTAAGTTTACAATGTGTAGTCTTGTGGCACCTTAGGGCATGTCTACACTAGGGAGTTATTTCAAAATAACTTCCCTTATTTCAAAATAACAAGGTGAGTGTCCACATAAGCACATTATTTCAAAATTATTTTGAAATAACGGGCTTGGTATTCAAAATAATAATTCCTGCTTGTGAAAAGGAACAACACTTACTTCAAAACTGTTATTTCAAACTAGCATTAGTGCGAACACTCAGCTGCTCTCATCATATATATAGAAGCCCAATGTCTGTGACTCTGTAATGATGAAACACTGGCTGTTCCCTCTGGGTGGCGCTGTTTCCTCCCGCCGTGGCTCTTGGCTGACTTCTGTGCCGCTCAGCCAGGCCACCGCGTGGGAGCAAGCAGCCGTTTGGGTCAGTGCTCCCCATGTAGCACGGGGAGTGTTCACACTAACGCTAGTTTGAAATAACAGTTTTGAAGTAAGTGTCGTTCCTTCCCGACCCCGCAAGAGCCACAGGTGAAGGCTACCCCATGAGGACCTGGTGTGGGAACCCCTGGACTGCCTCCGTTCCCTCACCCAGAACTCCAAAGAGGAGCTCCAGGAGGGCCACGCTGATCGCAAGCTGAGGACGATGTGGGAGCAGCTGTCACACCAGCATGAGGCCATGTGCTCCTCAGTAACAACAGTCATGGAGCACATGGGCGCATGTGTGGAGTGGTCCACCAGCCACCTCCCCGCACCCATTTTCCCCGCCTCCAACTCCCTACTCAATTTCCCACCCTCTCTCCAACTCCCTACCAGGTCCCCCAAACATGTGGCAGTGGTATCTCTAAGGCAGCCGAAGCCTCACAAGGTACCCGAGGCAGGCACCAGTCCTCGGCCTCATCCCTGAGCCCCTCTCCCCCCTCCTCCTCTCTTGTCTCTCTCTTCCCCTTTCTAGGTTCTTTCTCCAGTCCCTCCCCTCTTGTATATTCTCCAAATAAAAGAGTTGTTTTTTCCAAACAAAAAAGGCTTTTTTATTTGGTCTGCAGAGGAGGGGGGAAGGCATGGCAGGGAAAGTGACGGGTGGCGGAGGAAAGGCACATAGGGGCAGTGCAGAGGCCCCTTTTGGAAAGGCCAGGAAAAGAGTCTCACAGCTGGCCTTGGCTGAAACTCTCTCTCAAGGCCTCCCAGATGAGCACAGCCCCCTGATGTGCTTGGCAAATGGCAGTGATGCCCAGCTACCAGGCCAGCAAGATCTCATGGTTAAGCCAAGTCAGTCTTTTGCCATATTTTCTATCTTTCCGATGCAGCGGAATAGCTTGCTTTTGGGCCCTTAACAATGTCCCTTTGAAAAACTGCCAACTCTCCTCAGTTGTTCTTCCCCTCGGTCTTGATTCCTATGGGACCTTACTATTAGCTCCCTGAGCTTACCAAAATCCGCCTTCCCAAAATCCATTGTCTCTGTTTTGCTGTTCTCCCTTCTACCCTTCCTTAGAATTGTGAACTCTATGATTTTATGATCACTTTCACCCAAGCTGCCTTCCAATTCCAAATTCTCAACCAGTTCCTCCCTATTTGTTAGGATCAGATCTAGAACAGCTTCCCCCCTGCTGGCTTTTTCAACCTTCTGAAATAAAAAGTTGTCTCCAATGCAGTCCAAGAACTTATTGGATAGTTGAAGTCCCCTATCACCACCAAATCTTGGGCTTTGGATGATATAGTTAGTTGTTTAAAAAAAGCCTCATCCACTTCTTCCACCTGGGTAGGTGGCCTGTAGTAGACTCCTAGCATGACATTACCCTTGTTTTTAACCCCTTTTAGCCTAACCCAGAGACTCTCAACACTTCCATCTCCTATGTCCATCTCCACCTCACTCCAAGTATGTTCATTTTTAATATATAAGGCAACATCTCCTCCCTTTTTTCCCTGTCTATCCTTCCTGAGCAAGCTGTACCCTTCCATACAAACATTCCAATCGTGTGTATTATCCCACCAAGTTTCTGTGATGCCAACAATGTCATAATTGTACTTATTTATTAGCACTTCCACTTCTTCCTGCCTATTACCCATACTTCTTGCATTTGTATATAGGCATCTAAGATACTGATTTGACTTTGCCTCCCAGTTTTGCCTTGACCCTCCTTTCTCTCTGCCATTATAGCCCACGCTCCTTCCCATTTCTGACCCATCTCCCAGGTCTCCATGTTCTCCACTTACCTGCAGGCTTTGCTCACCTGTCCCTGTCGAACCTAGTTTAAAGCCCTCTGCACTAGCTTAGCCAGTCTGTGTCCAAATAGGGTCTTCCCCCTCCTCGAAAGGTGAACGCCATCTCTGCCTAGCAGTCCTTCCTGGAATAGCATCCCGTGGTCGAGGAAGCCAAAGCCCTCCTGGCGACACCATCCTCGCAGCCAGGCATGACCAGAGTTGTTTTTTTTAAAAGATTAGGGTTTCAAATTCACCTGTAAACACCCATGTAATATTTTCCAGAGGGGAGACTGTGCTCCCAAATGGCTGAAGCATTTGCACATGTGATCCAGTATGTGCACAGAATCCTACCAACTGCAAGTTTAACATACAAGGGGTGGGTTTTTTTTAAATGAATGAATGAGGAATATTGACCAGACAATAATCTTTCAGTCTTCACTTCCTCTTTTCTATGAAGAGCATTGTAAAACCCCCAGACCTACACAACAGCATTTGCACAGATCTAAACACAAAACCTAAGAAATGTTTGAAGTGTGCATGAAAAATCATGGTTGTGACCTACTGCTGTCCTACTGTCCTACAATAAATGGGAATTTTCTGGTAAAAACTGGGCTCAAACAACAAGCTCTGCTCCAGGCTAAAATCCTAGGTACCTCCTAGGGTCCAAAGAAATTGCAACCCTGAGAAGTTCCTCTTAAACCCATTATTCCTCTTAAACCCATGCTTGACTTGGTCATTTCAAAGCAAGAGCACTGCTTTAGCATGAGGATTAGGTAAGAAAGTTGTAAGAAACAATTATAGTCCTCAGCTACTTTTGTGTTAGATAATAAACAAGAGTTGACATTTGTTGCTGGTTCCAATAAATTGAGTCTTAAATCATTGATTTGCTGATCTTTATGAACAGCTGCAATAGTTACGATAATCTCTTTAATCAAACCTGTCACCAAAGCAGATGAAAAATATGAAAACAAAGTTTAAAAAAAATTCCTTCCAATAATGGCAAAAGGGAGAGCGTGGGCATCTTTAAGCTAACAAATGAACCAATATTCCCATTCTTTTTTTATGGAGATGTAAAAGAGTTGCACATCTTCTAATAAAGAGAACTATCCAAAGAATTATTTGCATGAGGAAGTCACGTGCTGTTGTTCACATTATTGGAAAACCAAACATAATGCAATTTCTAAGATACTAAGGCCTGTGAAGTTAGTTGTTTCTATTAAAACTCTTAACGAAGGATACAGGGCATATAGACCAAAGGGAACACTTTTGTATTGATTAATTAACTGCTACAAAGGAAACACTGAAGGCAGATGTAGTCCTGGGTTAATTTTTTGAGCAGCAGATGAACTCAAAACAGTATTTTATACAGCGACTAGCTTGAATGAACTCAATAGCCTTTTCCTGTTCCTAACATTGGTAAATGTTTTTATATGATGAGTAATAAGTGTGTCTAATAAACCCAGCCTTGTAAATGCTCTGTATTCAAGGAGTTTTTAAAAAGCCTCTTTAATGCAACTGCTACTAGATTTGGCTTATTGTACATATTTTCCGCAACACATTTGTTTATCTTTACCTCTGATTAAAGTATAGTCTGCTCTCAATAAGAAGAAATAAAAGCAACAGTATATTCTATAAGAACTTATTTCATGATGCAATGAGATGGCAGCAAGTCCCGCATGATATCATCTGAAAATAAAGAAAATTACACACACACACACACACACACGCACACACCCTCTACTGTAAGTCAATTTGCTTTTTGCCTAAATTATGGGCCCAACCCTACAAAATACTAAGCACCTCCTATATGATATTGAGTGCCATCAGCTTTTACTTACTTCAAGGGCTCTTAGCACCTCACACCACCAATCCCAAGAATAGCTTAAAAGATCAGATTACACCACACTATAAAAAGGGCCAAGATAATTCAAGTAATGAGTCATTTATATGAAGGAAGCCACCAAAAACAAGTTCAAGTTATTGGCTTTGTGCTGACCAAAGTGCTGCACAGTGAATGCACTTCAAACACATATTTCTTGTAGCCTTTGGCATAAAGCAAAGTCTATGGAAGTTTTTAGGTTTTTTAAAAAAATTAATAGTATTCCTCCACCACTTCTTGGAAACATAATCATGTTAAAAAAAACAAAATCAGCTGGAATGAAGGGAGGAAAAATTCCTCAATCTTTTTAAGCAATGGGGAGGTCTCCTACAAACTTGTTTCATTTCTCAGCTTTAATTCTCACAATTTTCACACGAAGGCCATGGACAATTAGCACCAAACCTTTTCCTCTGAAGCTGAACTTCTATTAGGATTGCAGAAAAGAACAAAAGGGCAGATTTCATACATTTCCCCCCTGCACTCCACCTGACAGTCCTCCATTCTTTGCAGACAGATTTAATTTCCTCTGACACATGGTGTTCTCCTCTCATCATCTCATCCTCTCTCTCTCCACATGCTTTTCCTTCCTTCAGGGGAGCTGGAAATAAGACATCAAGGAATGTTCTTTGAAAGAGCTGGAAAAAGCTCCAAAAAGGGACTTTTAAATGGTTGCAAAGAAATATGGTGAATCATACAAATGTTTTAAATATTTGGATCAACTTAAACAGTAGCTTCTCTCTAACACAGTCTACTCTTCCTGTGTATATAATGATGATGTAAACAGTTAAACCTATTACTTTATTAGACATACAGTGAAATAATCTTTTGGTCACAGCAGAGGACAAGGAGCCAGGAAATCCTTAATTGGAATCCCATCTCTACCAAAGACTTACTGTGTAAATGTGAATACAGATGAGGAAGTGGGTCTTTGCCCATGAAAGCTTAAGCCCAAATAAATCTGTTTGTCTTTAAAGTGCCACAGGACTCCTTGTTGTTTGTTTAAACTTGAGCATGTCAATCTGTTTCTTGAGCAGTAATATGGCATGAATAACATTTGGCAACTTTAGTAAAGCACTTTAAGGCCTGGAATGTAAATTATTAGGATAAATGCAAAGTAATATCCACCATTAGGAAAGTTGTGGAAACCCTTAAAATAAAAACCCAAGTTTTACCTCTGAGCAAAAAAGTTTGATTCCTAAATGGAACAGACAGAAAATTGGGCCAAGGAAACAAATCAGCCTTCTCGAAAGACTAAACAGCAAAGACTGACCCCAAGCACCAACTGCCTCAGGGTCTGGGAAAGACTGTTTCTAAGTTTTGTGGCTCAAGCCCATCTGTACTAAATAACACATATTTTGTTAAAATTTTCCCAATTAAAATGTCATGGAAAAACAAAAGCATTTTAATCATCGGCCACTATGCTAAAGCAGATCTTAGCAAGGCAGAAAGAGAAGGTACATTTTTTTCATTACAAGCAAATTTAGGTAGTTCCAGTTTAAAAATGGTCTGCAGTTTAACATCTTGAGGTTGGATTAAAGTGGATTAAAGGAGATGTCAGCTACAGGAAATTGATGCCTCATATATGAATCTACCATTTCTGCATGGAAACCTAGCAATGTGCTTTGCACACTTTAATAGGGTTTGAAAAATGCTGGTTGCTGTTTACAACTTCAATGGCAGGCCTACTTAAAAGAGTCACAGGAACAGATCCAACTCCTAGAATCACAGAATTTAAAAAAGAAACCTAAATGAATAGTACTACTCTCTGCTGGTATTGCCACAACTCCAAATGTCATTTCTAAGGTGTTCTTAAGCCTTTCTATAATCTACTTGCCCAAACAGTATTTAAAGAAGATACCAATAGAGAAGTCAAATGAAATCATCAAGTCAGTGTTCTGGAAAAGTCAAAATATTGTCATCTCCATAGAAGATGTAGTAGCAGAGGTGAAAGTAAGATAGTGCACCGCGGTGCAGATCTCCGGTGAGAACTGGCACTCAGCTGCAATTCAGGGGGGTGGGGTGCTCCCAGCTTGGCCCCCCAGTTTCCTGCAGTCTGCCACACTCACTAGCATGCAGCCAGGCAAGTCCCCCCCCCCCCAGGGGGGGGGGGGGAGAGCTGCAGCCACACATACTGGGTCCCTGTTGCTTCTCCTGCTTTTTGTGACTAGGGAGCGAGGGGAAAGTGCAGAAGCTTCTGCTTTCCTCCTCTGCCCCTCCCCTGGGCAGCCGGAAGTGAGAGGAATGCAGCAGGCTCTGCACTTTCCTCTCATTCCCTAGTTACAGGAAGCAGGAAAAGCAACAACGACCGGCACGTGCAGCTGCAGCTCTCCCGCCCCCCAAAATGGCACCATTGTCACCACCCCTGCACTCACCTCTATGCTGTCCAGCCCCCTGCCCTGAATCCTGCATGCCCATATGCTCCCTGACCTGAGTCCCCACACCCCAGCTCTCTCATATCCAACCCTGATTCCTGCACTCCCTGCATCCTGAGCCCCCAGCCCAACTCTTGCACTCCCCACATGCCCCAACCCTCTGCCCTGAGCCCCCCACACTCTGCCCCACATTTACATTTCTTACAGATAGGGTTGCCAGGTGTCCGGTATTCTACCGGACAGTCCAGTTTTTGCGCCCTCTGTCTGGTAAAAAATTTCAGAAAATACCAGACATGTGCACTGTCCAGTATTTTCTGTTTTTCTGGCTGGGCACCAGATGGAAGCCTGGCAGGGGCGGGGGGAGTGGCAGGGTGGTGGGGCCAGGATCCTCTCTGGGAGCCTGTGGTAGTGTGCAAAAGCCTGGTGGGGGTGGGGGAAATGGCTGGGATGCCCATCCACTCCCCCCGCCCAGGTTCTGCATACAACCACTCCCTGGCCCAACTTCTGGATGCAACCAGAGGCTCCCAGCTGAGAGGTGGGGCTCCAATCAGCACTGGGAGCCTCTGGTTGCATGCAGAAGCCGGGCGGGGGGTGGGGTGGGAGTCCCAGCCACTGCCTTCACC